CGGACAATGAAACGCTCGCCGAAAACAATGGCTGAATGAAAAAACTCTCAAGTAGAAAAGTTGCTGGCACATAAATTTCAACCCCTTTTTGCTCCATTAAATTTAATTGTGGGACGGAACCGCGTCCAGAGAATGACGCCTAATTGCACTTAATTTGCAAATTAAACACACACGCTCGAACGAATTTCGCAAACACATCTCTCGCAAATTATTTCCTGTCCTTGAATGCGTGTGTGACGCGAGAGGACAGCGCGGCGTGTCTATCTGGCTGTGCAAACACGTTGGATGGGTGCGTTAACAGCGCATTTCCTCTCGCTCGATGTTGGTGGTGGAAAAAAAATATATACGACATATAAAATCGTACGATTTAGGCCACGCCACAAAAAACACAACAAACAAAGGCGTGCCAAAAGAGCAATTTTTTATTACGGCTTCGGAACAACATTGTGGAGCTTCTCTGTTGCGAAAAGTGCCCTCGACAAGAAAAATAATTAATGAGTTTTGTGTTTTCGGAGCAGGCAAAACTTTTCATTTCTCCCTTTAGTCAATATTTACACTGTGAAAATCAGTTATGAAATATAAATAAATGGAACCGCCAGACACTATTAAATTTAACAAAATAATTATTTTATTTAGCAACAAGAGTTTTTTCTTGGGACTTGGAAAATTTTATTAAGAAATTTTATTAAAATATGAAAGGAATATTGTCTAAAATTTGAATGAAGTATGGCCTTGGTGTTCAATAAATTAATTCAAAATATTTTTAATTAATTTTTAAATAAAACCTTTTTGGCCATTTTAGGAAGGAAGTAACGTTTATTCAATATAAAAAAAATAAAAAAATAAAATTTTGTCAACACTTTAATATTAAAAATACTATATAATAAGGCAATTTTATTTTAATCTTCTTTATAATTTAAAATTAAATCAAGGTTTGGATATTTTAGACGAAAAAAATAGGAACTATCATTAAAAATGGAGGTTTTTGCAAGATTTACTTTGTTGCTTAAATGTAGGTCAAATACCCTTGTCGATTTATGAGCCACATTACATCAAAATGGGTTACTGAAAATTGCTCATACTTGACAGTTTGCCTTTTTCATTACCGAGCACTGAATTGCGCAAGAAATTTGACGACTGATTTTTCATTCAGCATAAGCGATATGAATTTATCACCGTCAGCAAACAATGAAACAAAATAATAAAACCGACAGGCAATTTGCTCTTCTCGTCAGGAGAACCTCATAAAAGTGCTTTTTGGGTCGAAGTTGTAAAGATCTGGAGGATGCACAGTAAAATCTTTTTCTTTTGAGCGATGCACCATCTCAGATCCTGGTAGACGTTTAGAGCTGGGAAGAAAATCCGCATAAAAAATTCAGAAAAGATCAAGGGCTTTAATTCGGGGCGGTCGGAATAAGAGTCACGTTGCGTAATTGAAAGCAAACAGGGTCTGCAAAAGCGAGCAAACAAGATCTCATCTCTCAATTACATTATTTCGTGACGCAAAAGCTGCAAAGATGGAAATAATAGAGCGTTCTCATCATCATATCCAAGTATGCCCCATAAAACTCTAGATCTTTCTCTGCTCTTCACTGTGTATTTATCTGGCCGCTTTTTCGCGCAGAGCTCACTAGCAGGCAATTTCCCATTCCGGTTTAACAGCTTGGCAAACACGCCCGCCCGGCTGCCTGCGACGCGATATTTCCCTGGATTAATCTTTATCGTGCATTTATTTGCCCTGGGTAAACAACTCGACCATTTCAATAATCTCCGGCCTGGCGGCGCCCGCCCGACGACCAAATCTTTTTCGTTCGTTCGTTCGCTCCACTGAGGCGTGACGGAAGCAGCCTGCGAACGCCATTTGCGACAGGCGGCGGCTCATCCGGTGGCCACCAAAGGTCAAAATCCAAATCCACCCTGATTGCCGATCGTTAGTGGGCGCTGTTGTGCCTCGCATGTGGCTCCAAAGCACCTCTGCAAAGACACTTTCCGCTCGGCTTATAGTTCGGGAGAATGAGATTTTTCTCCGAAATGCGAAAGGAAAGGTTTTAGATCTTTCTGTGATGACATCTTAAAGAAAATGCTTTTTCTTGGATAATCTAATTTTTTTTTAAATCTGATTAAAGATCCACTCCAGTCATTTGTATTGCTCTTTATTCCGAAAGATTCCTAAATTTCGAGCATATCTGGTGAAAACACTATTTAAAAATTCCAAACCGCTGCGTCTCTGTCAAAAGAAAACCTAAATACCAGTGATTCGCGCGAAAAACGTGTGAGAATTGAGTAGCCAATCAGATCCATCAGTTTGTTCCAAAAACTACAGAATTTGGCCACATTGGCGCTGCGATCGCTGATTTTGCCACTAATGCCCCACGGCGTTGCAGAAAACTTGGCAAAATCAGCGATCGCAGCGCCAATGTGACCAAATTCTGTAGTTTTTGGAACAAACTGATGGATCTGATTGGCTACTCAATTCTCACACGTTTTTCGCGCGAATCACTCGTATTTAGGTTTTTTTCTTTTGATTGGCAACGGTTTGGAATTTTCAAATAGTGTTTTCACCAGATATACTCGAAATTTAGCAATCTTTCAGAATAAAGAGCATTACAAATTACCGGAGTGGAAGTAACTGACTTTTTTTAGTAATTTTTTTTTTCATTTTGTCCATTTAAAATTAGTTTTTTTTAAAGCGAGTGTGCAAAGTTTTAATATACTAAGAACTAAAATTTGACAATGGCTCATATTACATATAACACATTGTATGAATATCAAATTGATAAAATTTGAGAAGCTCAGAGCTTGAGATGTTTAAAAAATAATATAAAATTAATTAGAATTTGAAATAAAAAATATTCAGATTTAATACAAAATGGGAATGGAACTAAAAAGTGGTTCCATGGAACTTAACAATATAGTTTCTAAATTGAAGAATCTTTCCGCAGAAGTTTAGCCTCAAAATATATATTTCCCTTTAATTCATCTTATATACGTCTTGCAATTTATTGAAGGGCGATGACTGATGACGCTTTTGAGCGTAAAGGGAGACAAAAATACGCATTTCTCCATCACCTTTTCCGGCTCACTCAATTAAAGGGCAATCATTTATTCAGGCCGACGCGGCCCCATTCAGAGAAACTTTGCGCTTCCGTCTCTCATTTGAAACCGCAGAGGGGGTCTTAATATCACGGAGGCGCGTTTCGCGGACGAAATCACGCGCATTAGCAGCGTAATTATCGCACACGGGCACAAATCGGAGACTTTTTGCGTCACTCGCGGGAGAGAGCAAAGGTCTTCTCGCTTGCCTGCGCTTCGTGGGGGTGTGTTTGGGGTGCGCCGCAAGACAAGCAGGCAGGGATTTTGTAGTGGTTGCTCGTTCTGCCGGTTTAATTAGTGTCTCTACGAAGATGGTGCTCTGCCTCATATCGTCAAAGGGGGTCGGCGCGGCAGTGGCGGGCCGAGCCGAGCGCTCCCTCTAATTATGCCATGTTGCGCGATTATGTTACAAGGTTTTACGCTCTCGTCGGCTCGATGCGCGCCCGGCTAATTAAATTTGGACGGCCAATTCGTGTTCCAGCCGAAAAGAGTGGGCGCAAAACGTCTGCTTTGACCGACTCGTTTTTTTTTTTGCTTTACAACACAAAATTGTACGTGTTTTGCACGCGATTTAATACAAATAAAAACGCCGAGTTACAAAAGAGGAAAGCATGTCAAAAGCGAAATTTAAAAGTGAGGGAATTCGTTGAACTCGCATTTCTTTTTGGAATGATTTATTTAAATTTTTATGTTAAACCAACGAAATTTACAATTAGTCACAAAATCAACTTAAATTTATTAAAAAATTCAATTTTTGATGAAATATGGTAAAAAAATTTAATTATAATTGCACTAATAATTACAAACAAAAATTAATTTAAATGAAAACAAGTAATTTACAGTATTTAAATTCTAAAATTCATATATTTGGAAGTTGATACACAAAATTATTGTCTTCAAAATCAAACATTCATATTAAAGCATAATTTTTTTTTTATTTCTTTGTATATTTTATTGAAATCGGGGAGTGTTTATGGATGAAATTCATCAATTCATTCATTCAGTCATTTCTAAGACTTTTAAATGTCTTGAAAACAATTCTCCAATAATAAAATTTAATTTCTTTTTGTCGGAGAACATTTTTAATGTTTAATTTAAGCTTGCAATTTAATTTTTGTTTTCTAGCCTGACCCGCTTGGAAATTCAATTAACTCAAGGGATAGCAAAGGCAGTGTAATTAATAATAATTAAACCACATCGGCCTGGGGCGATGGTTGGATCAAACGACGGTCCATTTCCAATGTAATCCACGTTCATTTCCTAGTGCAGCCCCTGCCAAGGCTATCGGCTCGAGGCGTTGAAACGGAGCGAAAGGCGTTCACCCGTGCAAAAGACAGACCTGCACAGCAACGCCGCTTACAGTTTAAGTCCTCCGAGTTCAAAGGAAGGAACGAACGACCCTCTCCGTCGATGCACGAGATAGAGAGAAACAATTCCTTTTGGCAGTGGCGTTCATTGGCATATATGCGGAGGGGACACATTTTGTTCAGCCAAAGGAATCGGTTTTTTCGGTGAGAAGAATTCATTTGCTTCCTCTCAAAGAAGGTTGTTTTTTGATAGATATTCATGGCAAAACAATACGACGCCGAATGAAAAATATACAAAACTTCAAGGGGACTGATATATGCAGCTCAAAACACAAAGTTTCCCTTCCCCGCCGTGTTATTCATCACAGGCTGCCGCAGCCGACTTAATTTAAAATTCAAATTGCGCAGTTTTCATTTGCACACGTAATTAGAGCAGAAGGCTGCTTAAAGTTGGCGAGGCGGTGCCCTGCTGTCCCGAAATTACCGCGAATCCGAGCAATTTTTGTTTCCATATTAATTAAAAAGATGCTAAGTAGTGCCGAGTAAGTAAATAAGTAAGAGAGGGGAAGAGAGATTAAAATTAGGGATGTATGAACTCACCTTTCCAGAGGACTTCGGCTTTCAGCTGTCAATGAAGATCTGCAACAAAAGAGACATCAAAATTTACTTTCAATATAATTATGTTTAAGTAAATAAAAAAATAGCTAATTTTTATTTATTAATTTCCTTCTAAATCAATTCAATATTTTTCTAATGAAATTTTAAGGCTTGAAAAAACAAGAACCTCTCTAAAATAGAAACAACCTTTTGAAAAACAAATTTACAGATTTTTGATAATTTAAAACATATTAAAGAATTTAATTGCTATTTGGTGGATCTTGTTATTTATTCTGAAGCTTTTTAATTTAATTGAAAGAAACTGTATTCAAGAATAAGCGAATATTAAATTTAAAAGCTGATGCAAATCAATCAGTCGATTTGCATTTGAACACAATTTTCCTTTTTGCAGAAGTCTCCCTTCATGCGTCAAAATCGCATTTCATCTGGACTGAAATAATCGGATTGGAATTGTTTGCTCGCCGGCTTGATTACCGTCACGTTAATCAATTCAGAAAAGCGCGCCGGCCACTCACTGGCTGCTTTTTGTCTGCAATAACAAGTTTGCTTCAACATCACCGTGCAGAGATTTTTTTTGTTGTTTTGGAGAGAGACGAGTGTGCCGGAACGGAAAACTTGATTAAGCCAACTAATTGCTAAGTTGATTTCCACAAGGCGAAAAATGACTACCGTGATTTTTTTTCACAGCCGGAAAGAAGAAAAAAAACCTAAAACGTAGAAAAAAATCTGGCCTCAGTTTTTCGTGTTAATTAGATCGAGACTTGTGAAATAATTATTTTCGCCTCAAAGTCGGATGAGATTTATCAACAAATGCTTTGCGAAGACGAATGGAAGCAGCACGCAATCGAGATTAATTTGGTTTGCAAGGAATTCTGCGGCGCATGGAATTGATTGGGAAAGTTGTGGAATAGTTTCGTACGTGGGGTGCTGATGAGAAAACATTGGCCGGCAAGGCATTTATAAAACTGGCAGCAAAGTGCGGTTGGCGAGCCACGCGGTTTGCTCACTTTGCAGTTGGCGCAAGAACTTGGAACCCTGTTATTAACCGAGTCTGCTGCCAGCGTATTCACCACAGCATAAAAGACGCACAATAGAAAATTATACTAAAAAGCGCAATTATTTGTAGTTGCATTCTTTGTTTTTTAATAAAAATTTTTTTAGAAATTTTATAGTCATTTTTAGAAAAAATTTATTGCTTATCATATTTTTAAAAAGTTAAAAAAAGAATATTATTTGTAATTGATTTTTAGTAATTAATTTTTCCAATGAATTTTATATACATATAATTTATTTTTTATTTTTAGATCAACAAAACCCCAATTATTAGAATTTTTACAAAAATTACAAAAAAAATAATATGATCAAATGAATCAATTTGAGAATTGTGGATAATTATCATCACTTTTGAGGTTTACCTTTACTACTGAGCTTATTAAATGATTATGTAAAATTAATTTAAAGCTACAAAACACCATGTCGTAATAATTGATTTCCTGCAAAAAAAAAATTGAGTTTGTGGCGCGCACGCAAACGCCACATCAAAGAAATTGTAAAAATGAAAAGCGGACTTTTGGTTTGTAACTTGATACGAAAAACGTGGAAACCAGGGCGATGCGGATCACGCGGCTGCTTTTTCGGAAAAGCTGCAGCAGGCAGAATAAGTAAGATGATCCCGGCCATAAATATGAGAAGACAACAAAATGCATCCGACGTGCGGTGCACCAGCACGATGCGTGCGGTTTTTGTTGCTTTTCCCCGAGGCCATTAATGGCGCTTTTGTGTCGCGCCTCTTTTCGCAGCTCCACTCTGGGAAATCAGCCCCGATGCAGAGGCATTTTCTGCAGCTTCACCAGAGTTGATTGCGTTTTTATTAAAGCGCGGCGAAACGCCAATTTTGTTCACTTCCGACCCCGCCGTCTTGTTGCAAAAACTGCTGGAATTTATTTATTAAGCTATAACGGTGTTAAAAAAAGTGTACCAAGATTAAAATTTATAACACGCTTTTATGACGCTCGTGGATCTCACGGGCATCAAATTCAAAAGTCATTTGTAAGCAACCGAGGGACAGAAAAGCAATAAAAGTAAACTTTGGCCGTTAAAATAAAATAAACCGTTTCGAACAATCATTTCGAAATGGATAATTCATATTTCAGGAAAAAACAATTCGTGTCAATCTGAAATTTTCACTCTAGTAAAAATAATCAAATACAATAAAAATAAAAAGTTATAGAAATTCCAACAAAAGAATTTTAAATTTATGCTTCTCATGAATTTGAGTCTACAAATTGCACGATTTGAAAGCTGTAATCATAAAGTTCTGCAACGACTAACAAAAATAAGTGAGGTGCTGTCAAAAGTGGCCCTTTCCATATTTCGCAGAGAGTGAAAGCTCCTTGAGCAAAAAATCCGGGCAAACGCTATTTCCGAGGCAGACGCACAAAAAGAAGAAGTATTCGTCGTCGGGGAAGACAAATTGTCAGGCAGTCATAAGGGAATATTAAATTATCACTCTCTCTCATTGTGCGCGGGAACGAGAGAGAGAATGAGAGCGGGAGAAATTGTTCCTCTCGCGGGGAGAACATAATCGTAATGACACCGGCGAGAAGATGGAGAAAAGCAACGCGCGGCGGTTATCTTCTTTTAGTATGCAAATTCCCAAATGGATATTTTTCCGGCGGTACAAATGGCGTCTTAACCATTCAGATTTATTTCTCTCGCCTCTTTTCCCCCGCCCGAAATGCGTCTGAGAGAAAAAGTCTGAAATGAATTCCGCGAGTCGTGATTCTTAATTTTTTGCCCCTGCAGTAGAGTAATGGGTTCCTCCCATTCAAAACATAACCACGCCGCGGCGTTATAAAAATTTCTCTCTGCCGCGCTGCAAAACCGCGCTCGGCCGCTTGACTTTTCAATTAATTTTTAGCTGATTTCGCTGGATTTTAATGAAATTGCGAGGCTCGTTTGGCGCGCGTTTAATTCGTGACTGAGTGCGGATGGAAAAAGCAAATATGCTTTTGCTGAATAAATATTACATATATTCGCAGCGCCTCGTGCATACTTTTGATCTCGCGTGTGTTTGATCAACGCCGCAGCTAATTCCAACTTCACGTTTCCATGTTCAAGAAACTTCAACATCCATTTCCTTTGATTACTCAGCGCTGAGCCGTTTTAAGGTCGATTGCAGTCACACGAGAAAGGCAGCAACAGGATCGAGTAGCAAACATGGATTTATGAGAGTTGGTCAAGTGAAAATTATTTCCATGCTCAAAGCAAATTTCACAAATGGCTTCAGTTTGAAATATGATAAAGGAAGGAGCAAATAATACCCAATGATTTAATTAAATTATTATAAATTGCAATATAATAATTATGAGATAATCAGGAAAACGGCTTAAATTTAATTTAATTTGTGGACAAAAATTATTTTGAAGTCACAACATGTAATGTTTTTAATAAATTATTTTGAATCCTAAAAGGAATGTGAATAAAACACAAGATTAACCGTTAAAATCTTCAAACAACATTTTTTAAAGCAACTTTAAGCTTTTAGTTTGTGACTGAAATGTTAAAAAAAATTACTTGATAAGTATTTAAAATTAATTATAACCTTCTTTCAACAAGAAATAGCCCGTGGCAATGTCCGATTTTATACAATAAATATTTCTTTTTAACATTTGAAGCTTTTCACACGATTACCTTTATGTTTTCACGTCCCTTTTATTTCGAGTAGCACTTTTGGCTCTTTAGTATTCAAAGTCGCGCGCAATAACTCTGCCTGACCTGCTGCCTCAAAACTCAAGTTCATCGCAGCAACGGCTGTTTTAATTAAGGACTCGCAGGTCACGACTCTCTGCAGTCGAGTGGGAAAGTCGACGCAAACACGCCGCCGTTTGCTCTTTCGTTCGCTCACTCGCCACGCCCGGCTCCGATTCCCCTCCGCTGTAATTATCGTCAAGTTTGTCACTCTTTTTGCGCCATATTAATTTGCATATTCCGCCGCTCAGCTGCCAAGCGCGTGCCAAAGTTTTATTGTTTCGCCATTAAATTAGACTTCCAACTCTGGGCGCTGCCTAATTACCAGTCAATTGTCATGCAAATGGCGCAGCATACGTTTGGTAATGAGCGATTCGCAGCAGCCACGCAGCCAAAGTTTGTTTCTCGGGGTTAAAAGTTGCACCCCGGTTTCTAACTTCAAACATGTTGCGACGAATCTCCATGCTGTTGCATTATTATTATGTTAATGGGCGCCGACCACAGTAATAAATTTGCAGATGAGACGTTTATGTTTCAAATCCGACTTGGGTGCAAAATTTACAGCCGAGAAGCGAGTTTCATATGAAAGCCGCACAGGGAATTAAAATCCAAACGGTTCACAATTCAATGCAAGTGTCTAACAAGCATATTACAGTGAGAAGTTTTGATAACATCTTAAGACAAAAGACCCCCTTTGGCGGCCGAGCTCGATTCATTCACAATGGGGAGGGCGGGAAAATTTCTGCAGCTGACTCTGCTACTTAACAAAAAAGCTTGAAAATTAGCAGCAGGGAAACAAAATTTATCTGGAATTGGCATTCATGGGTATTAAAAAGTTATAAAGAAATTTTTAAATAATACAGTTGGTATCTCTATTAAATTAATGTATAATTTTATTTCTTTATATATTTTTTATTATATCAAATATTTAAAAAATTTATATTCAGATATGTCTAAATAATTTTACATTATATTGTAATCATTTTGTGCCGAAAATAACTAAAATTTGTAATATTTACATGTAAATTAATTTTTGAAATACAATCTATGTAATTACCAAATGCTGGAAAATATATGATATTTAAAAATAAAAATTTATATTCAGAAATTGATTTGATAATTAAATACTAATTAATAACAATATTAGTTATTAATAAATCATTAAACAAATTTATTGCATGGTTGTTTCCAAAATGCGTTTGCTTTTCTTGTAAATATATCTTTGCAATTGTTATAAATTTTTATTGATTCTCAGCGGCCGCACGTAATCC